CATCCAGGGCACAGTGGCCTCTCCGGCTCTGGGTACCACTATCCATGAGAGGAAACAGCTGCACAGGCTCCTAGTCCAGAGCCCATTCTCCCTCCAGGACCTGGTCAGGGTGAGGGGCAGTCAGACGTCACCAAGGACTTCTTCATGCAGAGACCCAGAGAATCGGGGGGATCGATCCAAAGGGGAGGAGCAGAGTGGTCCCTTGCAGAGGAAACTCAGCCCAGCCAGGGGAGGGCACCCGTGGAAACACAGCCATGGTGTCATAGTTGCGCAACACTGGGGTGGCCTTAGAAAACTGTGTTCTTCAGGTGCCTGGGACACTAGCAAGCCGTGTGACTGAACAAGTCATTTCCTCTGTCTGGGTTGCAGTTTCTTCTTCCTCAGCTAGATGGGACCTCAAGGGGTCACCTGGCCCAGCCCCTGCCTCTAGGAGAGGTGGCTTCCAATCCTGTGTTCAATAGAAGCAATACTGTGCAATAATTAATAGAGAGGCTCTACAGCCAGAATGCATGGACTTGAAGCTCAACTACCTGCTAGCCTGCAATCCTGAACAAGTTTGTAAACTTTTCTGTGCCTCAGCTTCCCTGCCTGTAGCAAGGACATGGTAGTACCTGCTGTACAGAGCTGCTGTGAAGATTGACAGGGTGAATGCAATTAGAGCTCTGGCAGCATACGTATGTGCGTTCGTGCAGGCGCTGGTGCAGATGAGGTGTGCAGTTTTTGGCACAGTGTTCATTGTTCATTGTTAGCATGTTACAAGAGAGAAAGAGACCGCACCAGTTCCCTCTGTTATGAAGGCTGGATTAAACACCAGCTGGCCTGGAGGCAGTGGAATGGCCCGAGTGACCTCTGGAGGACCCTGGTGGCAGGAAGGAAGCTGCTTGGTTCCCCTCGGCTCGGCCCCTCACTCCCACCTGTAGGGGAGTTCTCAAGTGCTGGCATCACCTCTGATGAGCAGAAGGGGGCTGGATGGTCTGAGCGGAGCCAGCGAGGGAGAGGAGGTGAGGCTCCCAAGACAAGGGCAGGAAGCACAACCTGAAAAAACACAAACCTGGGGGACGTTACGCTATGTGAATGCTGTGGAGCTTCCTTCCAGATGGAATCTAAAGACGGAGCCTGCAGAAGGAAGAACAGAGCAGCCAGTGCTCCCCAGAGGCTGGCGAGGGGAGTGGGGAGGTGTTGGTCAAAGGGTAGAGAATTTCAGTTGGACCCGACGAGTAAGTTTTTGAGACCTACTGCACGGAACGGTGACTATAGTTAACAGTAGTGTATATTTCAGAATTGCTAAGAGAGTAAATTTCATATATTCTCACCATGAAAAATGGGAAGTATTTGAGGTGATGGCTATGTTTAATTTAATCATTCTGCATTGTATACATATATCATAACATCACCTTGTACCCCATAACTATACACAAGAAAAAAAATACCAAGACAGCTGAGCGAGCCTTAGGCCCCTTGTGTCTGGCTCCTGTCCTACCCCCACTACCACTGGCTTCTTGCCCAGAGCTAAGATGGCCTTTCGAGCAGCACCTCTGAGCCCTGTAGCAGAGGCAAAGACAGTGTGGGCCGGGCTGGGGCTCCTTGCACAGGATGCTGAGTCCTCTGTGATGTCTGGAGTAAGGGTCTCAGCCAGTGGTGGGCAGACGCCTCCCTCTGCTGCCTCCCATGTGCTGCAGAGGGAGCAGCCTGTGTTAGGGGGCAGGGCCTGCCTGGTCTGTGAGCGGAGTTTCTGTTCACTGAGCACCTCGCCCCACCCCAGGCCAGGCTCCCCACCCTCACCCACCCGGGCCAGGCACCCCCCTGGGCCAGGCACCTGCTCTGAGTCAGCACGGTGCCATATGTGTGCAGCTGAGCGAAGGGACAGACCTGGGCAGTTAATCCTAGATCTGTTGGTGATAGATCAAGGTGCGATTTTCTGGCAAATATGTATAAAGACCTGCCTACTGTAGGGAGAAGTTTGATTTACTGTGAAGTTAATGAGGCTTATGCTTCAGAACCTCCTTCCATAGGGGCCCCTTCCAAGTCCTTAAACTTAGTTTTTAAAGCAGCTATATTAAAGTATGATTGACAGATGATAAACTGTATATACTTAGAGTAGAAATTTGTTAAGTTTGACAGATATATACACCTGTAAAGCCAGCACAGCCTTCAAGACAGGGAACATATTCATCACCCCCAAAAGTTTTTTACCTAATTTAATTTTTTTTTTTTTTACTCTTTATTTGTACTTTTTCCTCTTCTTTTCAAAGAGAGCCTCCCAATTTTTAAATGCCTCAGACCCCTCAAAATTCTGGATTTGCTCATGTAAAGAAAAGCTCCCATGAGAGCAGGGTAAGAAAGCACTTCAAAAATTATGTTGAACTAATCAGGAGTAAAATGTTATTTGCATTTATTTAATTCCCTTCTTTGTCTGATCAGCATCTCACTGCTCATCCCCTCATCGTTCATTTAACAAGTATTTATCCACAGACTACCTTTCCAGGCAGTTTCCTAGGTGCTGAGTATACATAAGTGAATAAACAGACAAAGATCCCTGTTTTCCTGGAGCTTCCCTTCTGATGGGGATGGGGCTAGACAGTACTCAAAACATGGGCTTTACAGTGTGTCAGAAGGTGCTGTGGAGAGAAGCGGGAGGGCGAGGTGTGGTCTCAGTTCTCGGGGGGCAGTCAGGGAACACCTCCCCAAGACAGCAGCCTCCCTGCTTCCCCAGGAATGAAGGAGGTTGTGGGGTGAGCCCTGTGGGGCTTGGAGCAGAGTCTCCCCCTGGCAGAGAAACTGGAAGCACGTAGGCTCAGAGTGGGGAGTGAGGCGCGTGGTCCAGGAACAGCAAGGAGGCTGGAACGGTGGTATGGTTGAGATCAGAGAGGCGACTGAGCTGGGGAGGGGTGGACCGATTGTTCAGGGGCTTCTAGGTCATTGTAGGGACTTGGACACTCTCAGTCCAAGGGAGATGGGAAGCCGCTGGAGGGCTTTTGAGTTTTAATAGGATCCCCACGGCTGCTGTGTTGAGAGTAGATGGGGAGTAGTTGTGGTCCGGGTCCGAGAGGATGGGAACTGGGACCATGGCGGGCGGGGTGGTCAGAAGTGGCTGAATTCTGGATGTGCTTTGAAGGTAGATCCGTGCCAGACTCATCCATTCATTCATTCAACAAACAGGTGTCAGGTATTGGAGATGCAGACTTACATACAAGTGCAGTTTTTTCCTTTGAGGTGCTGAGAGTTTAACAGGGAAAGGCAGATACAGATAACTGATAAGCTGCTACCTGTGTGCAAGGTGTGGGCCGGAGGACTAACACAAGAACTGTACCCTGGGTGGTCACCGAGGTCCCCCCAGACCAAAGCATCCTCTGCCTTCCCCATTGCTCCAGCTATCCTACTACCAACCCCGAGACTCCTCAACTCAACCACTGGAAACCACCTCCTGGCTCTCAGGAACCTTCTCCCCTCCCATTTCCCTGCCCCTGCACTAGTCTCTGAGCTCAACCACTTACTTGGGCCTAGAATATGTTCATTTTACAGAAAAGGAAACCAAGCCACAAAGTGTTATCTTTGAGCCAAAGTTATGCTCTGTTTCCTAAGTCTGTAAAAATGTGGTTGGAAGGTATGGAGGAAAAGCCACAAAGGAGCTAGATTGAAGAAGAGAAGGCTGGGCAAAGGTCCACAGAGGGAAGTGACTTGCCAAGGTCCTTTAGCTCGTTTGTGGAGCGGCATGGCTGTAGCCTGGCTCCCTGGTTCTCAGTTCTGTGGTTCTTTCTCAGTAACCCGCTGGTGATGACCCACGTAGACCCTCTTGCATTTCATAGCTGCAGCAGGAGTGCCTCCAGTTAGACCTGGGGTAGAGCTGTTGAGCGTGCATTGGACTGCCCATGGAGCCTGTGGAATGCCTCTCCCTAGAAAGCTTTGAGAAGAGACATCTTGCTGGACTCCCAGTTTTAGGTATAGACTGGCCCACAGGCATTGTCCCTAGAGTCTGATTCTCACCTCTCTCCTTCCTCTGACACAGACAGGCCAGGCTCCCAGGCCAGCCAATCTTTTAGGCAGATGGGACTTTTTGAGAGTGGCCTCTTAATTCAGCCTTGGCAGTGGGGAAAGTTCAGCTGGGGAGCCAGCTTGCCTTGGCGGTGCGCTCTGGTTTCAACCCAGGTGGCAGACAGCCCACGCATCTTACCTCCCCCTGCACCAGCAGCTCCTCACGCAGACAGCCACACTCCCTCCAGGCTCAGTGGGACAGGGCAGGCTGGCCACAATGCCCTCTGGCCTCAGAGAGGTGAGGCTGCCCCACTCAAACCTTTTGCCCTCCCTCTCCCCTACCCCGTGCTCTTCTGTATGGTCTCATACTGTCCAGTGGTCGAGGTCCAACTGCAGGCTCAGCTGACCCCTCGTCCTCTGAACACGCCTTTGTCTGTAGCTGGCGCTGGACCCATTGTGTGGACTCCTCTCTTCACGATCTCATTTGAGTTCAGGGGCTCAGGCCTCCTCTGGAGACATGCAGTGTCTCAGCACTTACGTCTCCCAGTCCCACCGCAGCCCATAGAAGGGACAAGACGTCTTGTGAGATCCTCCCCATTCACAGAGGTGGTGGCCCCTCCCATAGGGAGGGGCGAGGGTCAGGTGTGTCCCTGGGGCCTCCCAGCTGTGCAGAAGGCTCTGAGAAGGTGGAGCAGAGGTGGGTGGTGGCCAGCACAAGTGAGGAGTGATGCTGGGGTGTCAAGGGAGGCTTTCAAGGGCTCCCCAGGCTGTAAGAGGCCAGCACCCTTGGGCCCTGTAACCTCCTTGTTCTCAGGTTACCAGTCGCCTCATTGAGGCCTTAGCTTCCTCTTGCTGCTGGAAGTTACTGTGATCCTGGGAGGGAAGGAGAGAGCTTGCAAGATTCTCACCCCAAGTCCCCACTCAAGGTGGGCAGAGTGAGGGAAGGGCTCCCCAGGGGAAGGGACCCTCCCCACCTCCCAGCTGTTTGTCTTTCTCCTCCCGCTGAGAGGCTGTTGGTGTCTCTGCAGGTCGAAATGAGCTGATTGCCCGCTACATCAAGCTCCGGACAGGGAAGACCCGCACCAGGAAGCAGGTGGGCCCTGGGAGACAGGCATGGATCCCAGGGGCAGGTACTCTGGCACCAGCCTGCTCCCAGGGTGAGCTGGGCCCTCCCCAGGACCAAGTGTGGGCTCCCAGGGTGGGACAGCTCAGGATGGGTTGTCTCTGTTGGGTGTGTCACAGTTTCCCTGGGGTCCCTGCTGCCATCACCTAAGAGGAGACCCCTCACCTTCCTAGGGGGACAGCAGCCCCTTCCCCATCCTTCTCCAGGACACTAGAACAGACAGCATTGGCACTGCACTTTTGAAATATCGCCAAACTCTAAAGTAGCTGGACAAGGCAGGACTGAGGGCCCACCAATTGACTGCCTCATTCATTCATTCATTCCATCCACCCACAGATGTGGACTGAGGGCTGTGGAGGGATGAGGGCCGGGGGGCCAGGATGGGGAGCACAGGCTGTCTGGGAGGTAGGACAGGAGCCCTCTCTCCCTGCACAGGTCTCCAGCCACATCCAGGTGCTGGCTCGTCGCAAAGCCCGCGAAATCCAGGCCAAGCTGAAGGTAAGACAAGCGAGGGACCTTGGGCACAGATGGGTCAGCTTCCCAGAAAGTGGGGCTCTTTTTCCAGTAGGAAAAGTCTCCCTTCTGGGTTCAGGGGGTGCATCTGACGCTATCTCCAGATAGATGGTATCAGAATTGACTTGAATTAGAGGACATGCAGCTGATGTCCTCTGCAGAACTGATTGGTTGTTGTTGGGGAGAAATCCCCATACACTTCCTGGTGACCAGAGGTCACAGAGGTCTTCTGTGTTGCTTGTTGTTGAGTGAGAGAATAGAAAAAACACTTGTTTTTGTTCCTGTATTCTCACAGCTAGTTTATATCTTTCATTCCCGTATTCTCAGAGCTAGTTTATATCTTTCAAAGTAGTTATAATTTTCTCTGTAAAAGTCTTGTACTCTGAAGGTAAGACAAGCGAGGGACCTAGGGCACAGATGGGCCAGCTTCCCAGAAAGTGGGGCTCTTTTTCCAGTAGGAAAAGTCTCCCTTCTGGGTTCAGGGGGCAGCTGCTGGAGTGCTGAGTCAGTGTGCTTCTGTCATTGAGGAGAGTCAGGGTCAGCCTGTGCCCTCTCTCCTATCCACACAGGGAGGGCCACAGTCCCTTGGAGCTGCAGCCCGTCTCCTGATGCGCCTCACCAGCTCCAGCTCAGAGCAGCCGGAGCGCCCTCCAGACCCCTTTCCTTGAGAGACACTGGCCCCCGCAGGAGCCCTACTGGCCCCTTAGTGCCATCGCCCAGAGCCTGCGGAAGTGGCAGGGCCTGGGAGGCACTGCTGGGGGGCGGTTGAGGAGAGTCAGGGTCAGCCTGTGCCCTCTCTCCTATCCACACAGGGAGGGCCACAGTCTCTTGGAGCTGCAGCCCGTCTCCTGATGTGCCCCACCAGCTCCAGCTCAGAGCAGCCGGAGCGCCCTCCAGACCCCTTTCCTTGAGAGACACTGGCCCCCGCAGGAGCCCTACTGGCCCTTTAGTGCCATCGCCCAGAGCCTGCGGAAGTGGCAGGGCCTGGGAGGCACTGCTGGGGGGCGGGGATTCCTTCCCTCCCTGGGTCAGCCCCACTGTACAGGGCCTCTGCTGACGGATTCCCCTCGGGGCTGCTGCTCCCATGAAGCCAGGGCTCTTGGGTCCTGGAAGCAAGGGCCCTGCTGGTGAGCACTGGGAGGGAGTGAGTGCTCCTTCACGAGTGTTAACAGCAGAGCCTGTGCGGCAGCTGCGTGGGGAGAGCTAGATGGTAGTTTACGTACTTTTTGTTAAAGCAATGGAAGCCCCTTTTCTTTTCCCCCCAACACACTATCACACCAATATGCTATCAAAAGGAGCTGTTCTGGTCCGAGCTAGGTTGATGAGGAGCAGGCTGGAGACCTCCCATGCAGCCTGTCCTACCCCATTGCACTGGAACCCCAGAGCACCTCAGAACCCAGTTTAAAAGCCACTGGACTAGGGACCTCAAAAGTCCCATCTGGCCCCAGTAGCCATGATCCTGACACTGGAGTCTCAGAATGAGTGGTGGGCACCTCAGACCTTTCTGCCTCCTAGGAAGCCATGCCCCACTGCCTGCTCAGTTCCATTCGGCCCAGCTCCTGCTGTCAGCGCAGCTGTCCCCTGCCCCCGCAGCTGTGGGCGGCACCTCGCCCCTTTGTCCCTGGGACAGCTGGCTGGGCCGCAGCTGTCGATTCCTCCTCCCCTGGAACACCTGGCCCCAGAGCCCACTTGTTTCGTTTCCCCACCCTGGTCTGCCCCGGATTCGCTGGGACCCAGGCAGATGACCAGAGTGGAGAACAGACTTCCCAGTGTTATGCTTAGAGTGTCAAGGGGACTGTGTACTTCCCTCGGGGCCCGGCTGCACGGTGCACGTTTGCTTCAGGGAATCGCACCCGTCCTTGTCCACAGGTTCTAGCTCGGGCCGAGGACGCTTTCAGTGGATCGCTGGACAGGCACCAGAGGGAGCGACAAACCCCTTAAGACACACAAATTTTCACGTCTGTGTGCGTTTTCCTGGAGAGATTGGTCTGAGGCCTTTGTCATACTCTCAGGGGTGTGGGTGGACAGCGAGGACAGGTAGAATCCTCAGGTCGTGAGGCTGGGTTCCAGCCCTGGCTCTGCCCTTGTGGCTGTGGCTCTTGGGCAAGTCCCTGGGCCTCCTTGAGTTCCATTCAGTTTCCTCCTCCCTCAAATGACAGGAGTTAGCGAGGTACTGTCTGAGGTTCCCTCCAGCTACAAAACTCAGGGATGCCCTGGCCCCGCTGCCTGGCCACTGATGTCACTCGACATGATGTCCTTCCACTTCCTCCTGACTCTGCTCCACCCTGTTCGGCATGTGGCTTCCTGTGCCCCGGTCATTTGTTTAGGTCAGGCATCCGGGAAGGACGCATGTTGCTGACCCTGAGCGGGTGGAGCTCTCGGCCTCAGGCTGCGGTCCTTACCCACTGAGGTCTGCAGCTTCCTGTGGGTACGGCTTGCAGGTTGCTCATGTCCTCGTGGACTTGGGCCTGGNAGCACAGGTAAAAGAACCTGGGGCTTGGCATCGGAAGTGGGGGGCACTGAGCCCTCAGCCTGTGCATCTGACGCTATCTCCAGATAGATGGTATCAGAATTGACTTGAATTAGAGGACATGCAGCTGATGTCCTCTGCAGAACTGATTGGTTGTTGTTGGGGAGAAATCCCCATACACTTCCTGGTGACCAGAGGTCACAGAGGTCTTCTGTGTTGCTTGTTGTTGAGTGAGAGAATAGAAAAAACACTTGTTTTTATTCCCGTATTCTCAGAGCTAGTTTATATCTTTCAAAGTAGTTATAATTTTCTCTGTAAAAGTCTTGTACTCTGAAGGTAAGACAAGCGAGGGACCTAGGGCACAGATGGGCCAGCTTCCCAGAAAGTGGGGCTCTTTTTCCAGTAGGAAAAGTCTCCCTTCTGGGTTCAGGGGGCAGCTGCTGGAGTGCTGAGTCAGTGTGCTTCTGTCACTGAGGAGAGTCAGGGTCAGCCTGTGCCCTCTCTCCTATCCACACAGGGAGGGCCACAGTCCCTTGGAGCTGCAGCCCGTCTCCTGATGCGCCTCACCAGCTCCAGCTCAGAGCAGCCGGAGCGCCCTCCAGACCCCTTTCCTTGAGAGACACTGGCCCCCGCAGGAGCCCTACTGGCCCCTTAGTGCCATCGCCCAGAGCCTGCGGAAGTGGCAGGGCCTGGGAGGCACTGCTGGGGGGCGGGGATTCCTTCCCTCCCTGGGTCAGCCCCACTGTACAGGGCCTCTGCTGACGGATTCCCCTCGGGGCTGCTGCTCCCATGAAGCCAGGGCTCTTGGGTCCTGGAAGCAAGGGCCCTGCTGGTGAGCACTGGGAGGGAGTGAGCGCTCCTTCACGAGTGTTAACAGCAGAGCCTGTGCGGCAGCTGCGTGGGGAGAGCTAGACGGTAGTTTACGTACTTTTTGTTAAAGCAATGGAAGCCCCTTTTCTTTTCCCCCCAACACACTATCACACAAAAATGCTATCAAAAGGAGCTGTTCTGGTCCGAGCTAGGTTGGTGAGGAGCAGGCTGGAGACCTCCCATGCAGCCTGTCCTACCCCATTGCACTGGAACCCCAGAGCACCTCAGAACCCAGTTTAAAAGCCACTGGACTAGTGACCTCAAAAGTCCCATCTGGCCCCAGTAACCATGATCCTGACACTGGAGTCTCAGAACGAGTGGGTGGGCACCTCAGACCTTTCTGCCTCCTAGGAAGCCACACCCCACTGCCTGCTCAGTTCTATTCGGCCCAGCTCCTGCTGTCAGCGCAGCTGTCCCCTGCCCCCGCAGCTGTGGGCGGCACCTCGCCCCTTTGTCCCTGGGACAGCTGGCCGGGCTGCAGCTGTCAATTCCTCCTCCCCTGGAACACCTGGCCCCAGAGCCCACTTGTTTCGTTTCCCCGCCCTGGTCTGCCCCGGATTCACTGGGACCCAGGCAGATGACCAGAGTGGAGAACAGACTTCCCAGTGTTATGCTTAGAGTGTCAAGGGGACTGTGTACTTCCCTCGGGGCCCGGCTGCACGGTGCACGTTTGCTTCAGGGAATCGCACCCGTCCTTGTCCACAGGTTCTAGCTCGGGCCGAGGACGCTTTCAGTGGATCGCTGGACAGGCACCAGAGGGAGCGACAAACCCCTTAAGACACACAAATTTTCACGTCTGTGTGCGTTTTCCTGGAGAGATTGGTCTGAGGCCTTTGTCATACTCTCAGGGGTGTGGGTGGACAGCGAGGACAGGTAGAATCCTCAGGTCGTGAGGCTGGGTTCCAGCCCTGGCTCTGCTCTTGTGGCTGTGGCTCTTGGGCAAGTCCCTGGACCTCCTTGAGTTCCATTCAGTTTCCTCCTCCCTCAAATGACAGGAGTTAGCGAGGTACTGTCTGAGGTTCCCTCCAGCTACAAAACTCAGGGATGCCCTGGCCCCGCTGCCTGGCCACTGATGTCACTCGACATGATGTCCTTCCACTTCCTCCTGACTCTGCTCCACCCCGCTTGGCATGTGGCTTCCTGTGCCCCGGTCATTTGTTTAGGTCAGGCATCCGGGAAGGACGCATGTTGCTGACCCTGAGCGGGTGGAGCTCTCGGCCTCAGGCTGCGGTCCTTACCCACTGAGGTCTGCAGCTTCCTGTGGGTACGGCTTGCAGGTTGCTCATGTCCTCGTGGACTTGGGCCTGGGTGTGTTTGGCTTTTCCCTCCTGACAGGTGGAATGTCCTTGGGAAGAGGATACCTTAGGCTGATTGGCTTTTCAGTGGATCGCTGGACAGGCACCAGAGGGAGCGACAAACCCCTTAAGACACACAAATTTTCACGTCTGTGTGCGTTTTCCTGGAGAGATTGGTCTGAGGCCTTTGTCATACTCTCAGGGGTGTGGGTGGACAGCGAGGACAGGTAGAATCCTCAGGTCGTGAGGCTGGGTTCCAGCCCTGGCTCTGCCCTTGTGGCTGTGGCTCTTGGGCAAGTCCCTGGGCCTCCTTGAGTTCCATTCAGTTTCCTCCTCCCTCAAATGACAGGAGTTAGCGAGGTACTGTCTGAGGTTCCCTCCAGCTACAAAACTCAGGGATGCCCTGGCCCCGCTGCCTGGCCACTGATGTCACTCGACATGATGTCCTTCCACTTCCTCCTGACTCTGCTCCACCCTGTTCGGCATGTGGCTTCCTGTGCCCCGGTCATTTGTTTAGGTCAGGCATCCGGGAAGGACGCATGTTGCTGACCCTGAGCGGGTGGAGCTCTCGGCCTCAGGCTGCGGTCCTTACCCACTGAGGTCTGCAGCTTCCTGTGGGTACGGCTTGCAGGTTGCTCATGTCCTCGTGGACTTGGGCCTGGGTGTGTTTGGCTTTTCCCTCCTGACAGGTGGAATGTCCTTGGGAAGAGGATACCTTAGGCTGATTGGCTGCCTCTTTGGTTGTCAGAGACTTGTGTTGTAGAGGCGTCTCAGCAAGGCCCAAGTTTGGCCCCAAAAGGACAGTGGGGAGGGCCCCCAGAAAGGGCCGGGGACAAACTTCATCTATTTCACTGCTTCGTCCAGGTGGGGGATGACCCCACCCCTCAGAATGGTCTCCCATGCCCTCTGTGGTGTTTGCTGGGGCTGTCAAGTCCTGGCATGTCCCCACCCCTCACCCCCTTGGTTTTCACGGCCTGCTCTGTGCCAATCTGGACCAAGCCGACAGGGCCCACCACCACCCCTGTCAGCACCT